TTATTCCAATGATATATCACATGCGATGATTTGATGGTCGAAACCTTTAATATTTTAGTATTGTAGATATTGAAGGTCAAATCAACGTAGGTCAAATCATAAACAACCAAAAATATTGTGTGTGTGTTGGGCAGTAGCAGCGCCATTAAATGCCGAAATATGCCCTGACTGACCGCATTTTTGGCGTTATAAATGAAATTATTATCACGCTCATTCTGGGCTCGCAAATCGATACCAAACGCGCACATTGCCAAAACGTCCAGGGCAAAATTGCCAAACACTTGCTTGACGTCAATCAGTGTACAATCCACTGCGTACCTGTAGGGTGACCAGATATGTTTAACAATAATGAGATATTTGTTATATTATATATTTCATGTTATGGGGACAGGGTTTACTAAATACAAATACAAAATTCAGTTACTTATAAATAGTTTAATAGAAATCATTTACTCTATTTACTTTGGAAAGAAATATTAAGCATATATGAAAATAACTATTCATGATGCCTGCTAATTTCTGCTTAGTGAAAATCTGCATTTACATTAAATAATTATTTAACAGTTAAAATTAAAATATTATTTGACGGCCGGAGGGTGGGCACTTAGTACGGATGGGCCTTGTTATAAATAAGATTATTAATTTAATTTATGCAAAAAAATTCACTTAATTTATAGCCAAGTTGGATATCTAAAAATATTGGGAATCGTTGATTTGACCTACGTTGATTTGACTTATAATACCTATAATGTTAAAATTTTACCCAATCTATAACGGTTCCGACCATCATATTATTGCATGTGATATATCGTTGGAATCAGCTCAATGAGTAGATTAAGAAATTATCTTCTTGAGTTGAATTAAAAAGAATTGTCTTCTTTGACCATGGAGGAATATTAGCTGATCCAGATTAAGAAGTGATTTTTTTACCTACTCATTGAGCTTATTCCAATGATATATCACATGCGATGATTTGATGGTCGAAACCTTTAATATTTTAGTATTGTAGATATTGAAGGTCAAATCAACGTAGGTCAAATCATAAACAACCAAAAATATTGTGTGTGTGTGTGCATCTAATAAAAACAATCCTTACGCCGACCACATTGTGGTCACCCTACATACCCGTCCACAACTCGTGACAATTGGGTGGCGCACGCGCCCATCATTTCGTACATCTGTCGCATCTTCGCCGACGAGAATGTGGGCGATATTAGTGACCGCAGTCGCCGCCAGTTGGGGCCGTCGCTCGTGAATAGATTTTGGCTATAAATCGGGTGAATGTCCTTAAAAAGGGTACGATTTGTGAATACGTCGAAATCGGTGACCAATATCTGGCGTATGAGCCGCGGGTCGGCCACCCGTAGTACCGGCTTATGGCCGTCGAATACGCTTCACACGATTGCCGGTAAATAAATATTTTATAATTTTGCTCATCATCATTTTATAAAATAATTAAAATAAAATACCCGTAGATTTTGCCATATTTAGCGATCCAGTCCATTTCGATATGCGATTTCGGTCTCATATACGTACCGATAGTGTTGCCAAAACCAATTACGGGTTTCGGACCCGGAATACCCTTATCCGTCCAATAGTTAAAAACTCGTGTCCACTCCCGGAACACTCTTACAATATGTAGATAAATATAATAATTAATTTAATTAATAGAAATTTTTTTAATAATTAAAATTACTCACCCATAAAGTATGGGCAGTGAGCATAGAATGCCATATAATACCATCTCAAGTGAAAACATTGTTGACAATATTGTATTAATATGGTTTAAATATACACAATAATTCAATGTTGTAAAACAAGTTAAAATAAAATAATGTTAGTTAAGTTTAAAAAATTCACTAATGTATTCTAGGCAAGTATTAAAGTGTAATTATATAAAATCTATTTATGTTTAGTCACCACCAGTTCCTTAATTATTGTCTAGATTTTTGCACAAACTTCTAGAACATTCTACATGTATTAGAATAGCACATAAAATACAAGCAAATTAACAAGGATATTACAGGGATTTTTTAGAAAAATGTTTATTGGCTTATCATTTCAAGGGGTTCTCACTGAATCGGCCCCAGTCCCCAAATCGCCCACAAATTATACCAAGTAATGTATATTATTTATAATCTAATTCATATGTATTTTCAAATACTGGTATAAGAATTTATTATCCCTGATCATTATGGGTTTTATATTTTTAATATTTTATCATCAATAAGTTATTACATGGGTATTTTGATGCATTCAGTGTCTCACATTTTTATGTGTTACCAACGATGAATATGCTAATTTATTAGCAAATTATAAAATCGCAATAAACTTCTTGTATTTTAAAGTAAAATTTTCTATAATCACAATTTAAGTGAGCAAGTTACAGTATTTTATGTTAAATACTGAATAAGACATAGAAGGGTTTAAAATCAACAACCTGCTTTAATAATTTTGTGAGTATACCTCAAATAGTACCTAATATACTAGTACATACAGTACGTATTTACCACACTTTCTAATATATTTGTTTATATTGAGCTCACAATACATGCGTATTGGGACACAACTCACAAGTTAGTGGTGTTTGTGTAGCATTAGTTCCCTTTATATTTAAGCCTATTTTTAAATTACAGCAGGTTCTTGATTTTAAACCCTCATAGGTTGATTATGGTTATTAATTATTATAATAAATAATGTAACTCAAATTTCTTTGAATTAATAGATTTCGCTATTTATAAATTAGAAAATAATTATATTAATAATTGCTTTAATATAATAATTTATTTATTTTATAATTAATATGAACAAGCTTTGTTTTAAAAACTTCTTACAATAAA